AATCTCAACGTCCTTTTCAGTGTTAATAAGACAATCCAAAAGTGTAATCCGTCACGTACTGCATATATAAAAGGATGGTGATCACTGCTCAAATGCAACCACATTTCTCGGCACAATCTCAGTCCAACCAGTTAGCTTAGTACTTGGAATTTCCAGTCCTCTTCCTTTAAAACATTTCATCTCAATCACACTCTGCGAATGATTAGCTTGAAATTCAAATCCTGCCTCCTTTAATTCACTTACGCCATATGAACGTTTCATTTCTCTGTCAATGTCTCTTTGTTCCTTGCCTGATACGTAAAACATCCTCAACAAATCACAGGTGTTGGACTTGTGGGATTTCACCACTAGGTAGGCTTAAGTTGTTCTCTACGAAATATGTGAAGGAGAAGTTGACAAATATTTGGTGATAGCGGGATGCATGTTTTTTAGGAAGCTAGACACAAAATTGTTGAAGGTAATCTCAACTGGTGGGTCAACATAATTGGAATAAGCGTTCAAGAACAAAAAAGATGGCAACTGATTTTCGAGTAAAATCAAATCCCGCATTATTATATTTGATGTTATGCCTGGTTTTGCAGTTGAAATGTCTTCTAACCGTCGATCCCTAGCATTTGCCATAATAAAGAACTCACTAATGAAACGAGCATCATATAGAATCATGCTTACAAGTTCTTCGCTCTCCAATTTTGTGGGTTCTGAATAACGAATTTGATTTTCACAGTCTTTTGCGACGTTGAAACAATCATCAATTGATTTCTCTGGATTCCTTATCAAAAATTGCCTAAAGAACCATAATTTCAAGTTTTCCATTGATTCCAATGTTTGGTTTCTACAGTCAAATGGGCCAATGGAAATCAAAGTAGGAGTGTATAGGCTTCTTTTATTATTCGGAGTTTTGGTTGTACCTTGTAGACGCGACAACTTGATGTTAAGGGAAGATCCAAGTATTTTATCCTTCTTAACCTGTGTTCAGCAGAAGTTTCAATGCAAAATTGAGGAAATAAATACTAAAAAGCCCCAATATAATAGCAAGTGAGAAATTGTTATTTTCTACTCTGTAACTGGTCATTACAGTTATTAAGACTTTTTATAATTATATTCCTTTTATAGGACTTGATAGCAATTCTTCCAAAGAATTTGGGGGCACCCACACACACATATACATATATTTCCCTACTAGCTAGTAACCAATCTGTTACATATACAACGGCTGTCCTTTTCGAAGGAGCCAAAACGTGAGAAATAAATTTAGTGTCGTTGGTGGGTTTTATGGTGAACATTCTATTAAAAAGACTTTTATTTTTCTTTTTTAGCTTCATTAATTGAAACAAGTTCATCTAGTAGATGAAGTCGTTCGTGTGATTGTAGATTACATATAAAACAGTGGGGATAAGGCAGTAATATAGGTGTCAATATACTCTTGAGTGGGACTGGTTAACCGAGATTGTCGTAATTAAATTAATATTTTTCTTTCAATACATCATAATTGTTTTAAATAAGAAAGACAAAAAAAATAATAACAAAAATCTATTGAAAATTGGTTTCAAATAGAAAACAGCAATAAAGTTAATTAAAATAATTAGGTTGTAATATTTTCATAATGCATGTGCATGTGCATGTGCATGCGTTAAAATTTATAGTTTTATAATTTATAGACATATTTCTGGTCCATTTCATCCCTGGCCTTCCTTTTTCAACACTTAAATTGGATAAATATGCATAAAATATAGATAATAACCATGATACAAATTCTTACAGCTTATTAAAAAAAGTTCTGATCGGTTCAAAACGATTCAAAACTAGTTCTATTGGTTCTTCCCTCATTTTTGTATCCTATATCCAACTGGTTGGTTTGGTTTGGCTTTTTCATTACTGTAAAATAAGACGAATAAAGAATATGTTTATTATCATGAAATCCTTTTCCTAATAAAAAAAAAAACGGCTTAATCTGCTACAGAAATACAAAAGAGCCTAAAAAACTGCAAATAATAAAATGCATCATGGAATGGAACAGAGATAATGCAGAAATTTCAAAAATTAGTAAAAACGAGTCTCATAGCTGAGATTACAGGAAATAAAAAGAGAAGAGATGATTATTTAACCTTAGGGTCTGAAAAATGTAGCAAGCTAGAAACTGAAGTGCAGAAATAATGAAGTGTAGAAATAATCCATAAACGTTGTATCTTTGTCTTCTTCATCGAACCTCCAACAGTAAATTCTAATTTATACACAAAAAGGGCCCTAATTGATGGAAATGACCAACTTTAATTCACTTACAAGATTGTTTTGAATCTCCTCGTAATTTGTCTTTTTTTTCCTTTTCTGTTTCATTGATAAAATTAAAAGTACTGAAGGGTTAATTATTTTGTTTTATATAAGCTAGGAATATTAAAAGTACTAATTACTGTGTACCTTTCCGTCAGACATATAAATACCCGTCCCTTCCATTCTAGGCAATGTTTCGGCCAAATTAGAAAAGAGAGGGGGGAGGCTGAGCTTCACAAGAGGAGAAGGAGAAGAGGAAGTGCAAGTGATCCCACACAAGATCAAGTTTCAAAACAAGATATGTTCATGGTTTTTGATGTGATTTCCATTACTCTTGTTGTTGTTAAGCTTGGTTATGAGTTTTGTTGGATTTTTAAAGCTTGAAAACCTAAGGGGACATGCTGCACGAAAGTATGAAGGGTAAAGGAAGATAAAATCGATGTTAGATTAATGGTTAAGAAGTTGAGACAAGCTTGAATACTTAATCTTGGCCATCCATTTGATCTTTTCTTATGATCTTGCCAAGTGTAATCAAGATTGACAAGTGTCCTCATAATATTATGCTTACATCACCTTGCTTATATCGTGCTTACATCATCAAGTCACGTGTCTCGGGTCCCCATTCGGTGCTCATCAGGTGATGAGCACCCAATGCTCATCACCTGATGAGCAATCTGGACCGTCCAGATTTGATATTATTAAATAATTATTTTAAAATATAAAAAATTATATTTTAAAAGAATGATAGTTAAGAGATTATTTTTATTTTTTATCTTATACCTATTAAAATAATTATTTTTAAAAAATAAAAAAAATCTGGACCGTCCAGATCAGATCTGGACGGTCCAAATCTGATGAGCATCCAATGTAAATCCCTCTCATCTAACCTCACACGTAATATCTTTTTTCCCACCTAACTGTACACATAATCCCTTACATGTTCCTTCATCATTTTGGAATTAAAATAGGGAGGAAATTAATAGGAAATTCATGCAAAATGCAGCCCCTAGGTATTCTTTCACCTATGTTGCCATTTTGCATTATATCGGGTACTTTTTTGGGTCCTGACTTATCCGATACCACTGGGACATGTTCTGGCATCCTTTTCTCATCTCAATCAAGTCCGCATATGGCGCCATCTCAGAAAAATATAAAAGAAAATAGTTAGCTCCATTGACAGGCTACTTAGCCTCATTGAGTCATGCATTAGAAATTTCGCTGTATCGAGTAGATAAAGAACTGTTTAAAACGTACCCGTATTGTGTTCTGATTTTTCTACTGTCCATAAATATCTTCTAGTAACTCAACATGCTGATTTAGAGGCATCATAATGTGTCATAAATACACTTGATGACTTAGCACACTGACTCAGCACCGTAATCATTGCCTTTAGATATTTTCTTTGATTTTGTTTCTTATTTAGGAGACAAAACTTATTTAATATTTAACTGAAGCATTTTATTCAATCTCGAGCTTCAAAAATTTATTTGTCCATACCATAAAATTTCTTAAATTCTGGAGAAATTTGTGAATTTTCTCGTGCCATAGCTCAATCTGTAAATATTTATTTTTGAAAATCCTATAAAACGCCCTTTTTCGGCATAACTAGGCTTTAAATAATTTTAAAGTCATTCTGTTAGGCCTCTAGGGACAAAACTAATTTTATAATTTTCTATAATCTCTTAACTTAGAAATTCCCATTTTTACTTGCTTTTCTAAGGCCTTCTTATAGCTCAAATAATTAAATCTAATTGTATATCTCAAAATGAGCCATATTCTTTAAAATTCATTTAAAGTCAATACAAGGGCACTTTTGTAATTTTTCTTCACATACAAGTCTCAACATGCCATTTCCTATTTTTTGGGATTTTTCTAGAATTTTTTTGGAATTTCTGGACTTATTTTCCAGTATTGCCCATTCCAACTCGAAACCTTTCGATTTTATGGTTTAGTCCCTGCTATGATTTAACCTCAAGAATCATTCTTTTGACGTCTCTATCATAACTTTTGGCCCTCATTCATCTTCATTTCTCATTTTTGGGTCTTAAAACTTCTCCGAAATCTTTAACTTTATTTACATTTTAGTTCCTAAAACTTTCTTAATTTGTGGTTTAATCCCTGAAAATCTTGTTACTTTCCTTTTACATTTCTGGGGCTCCTGCTGACTGGGGTTCAGTAGACTGCCTATCTCAGACTATTTCTGGTACTTCTAAGTCCAAAATTTGGAATGTTACAATCATAACCTCCTACAAATAATATCTTTTATCTTTAACTATACCTTTCATTCCCTCCCTTCCTCAAACCTACCCACTTATACAGCAAAGATGAAGATGAAGAATATCACAATGCGCAATTCTTAGAGGGAAGAATAGAAGAAGAGTTTAGTTAGTAAGTTACTCACTTGATTGTCAATATTAAAAGCTTTTCAATCCCAATCACACACACATGTAGACCCTTCCTTTCCCAGTTTCCTATTATTAAATTTCTTGTTTCTACCTTCATTAAAGAGGCTGAATAACTGGGGAGTATTTCAGAAATTTTACTGTTATTTCATATTTGCATTGGGTCTATTGAGACAATTTTTCATATTGAGCAATTCATTTCGCAATTTCACACACTGCGGGATTTTTTTTTTGTTGTCATTTTCCCTTTGCAGTTGGTATTTTTAATTTTTATTGCCAATTTTTTTTTTTTTTAATATTTCTATTTGAATTCCCGCCATCTCCTCTCTCTGACCTTGTTTTCCTTTCATTCTCTTCAGCCACTCTTCTTCACGCATTGTCGCCTCTCATCCTCCGTCCGGACTAGACGGCGCTGACCACAAGGGCAAGTATTCGGAGTTCCGCCACCTCCATTGCCGGACGTCTGGTCGCTTCAGAGTTCTACGAACGTCTTCGTGCTTCTCTCTTCAGGTAGCTTCTTCATGTTTCTCTTTTCTTCTACTTATATCTCTTCCGTCGCCGTGTTTTTCCCTCTGAACATTAGAGGAGTCCCAATCCAACTCCAGCCAATAATCCTCTCCCCGGTCGTCACTCTCAACAATTAAATTTACTTAACTATTTATTTCTCTTTCAAAAAAATTGTCCCGGGAGCCAGGCTTTTTCGAACCGAAGATATTAGCGTTTTATCTTTTTGGGACCAAAGGCATAAACTATTCTTTGAATTTCACTGTTAACTTTTAATTAGCTAATTGAGATTCAATGCCATACATCATGGATTTTTCCATTAATTGATTATGATCCCGCTGCACTTTCTAGGAGATGCTGTTCAGCTGTTCGATAAAATGCTTGTGTAGGATGTGTCTTTTTTGGCCTCTTTAAGTTTCCATTAATGTTTGTGAAAATGGTTTCTACCTATATATTCTCTTTATTTGGCGATTTAAAATTGAGCTTTCCTTATTTATGCATTTGTTTTGCGTTTTGCATTGCTTCCTAAGCAGCGCTGTTATTATGTACTTGTTGGAAAATACTAAAACAATTCATTACAAATTTTTTAAGATTATTGTTGTTTTTATATATATTTTTTTCAATCATATTTTGTGAAACATGATCTAGTCTACTGAATATTCATATTTCCTGGAAAATTTAATTATCATTTGCATTTAAATATTAGATCATCATCCAAGTCTAGCTAGTTGAGTGGGATGCACTTCCATATCAGAAAAGCTGATTATTTTATATGTTTTGCTCCACACACACACACACATGCGCGCACATACATGCTTGCATGGGTGGGTTTGCGTCCATTATCTCCAAAGTTAGTCCTCAGCTTGTTTCATACAGGTATGCTGGTTAAAAGAGTCTTGGTTAATTGTAGGGTCATGTTTGAGTATAAAAACCCCTTTACAAGAGAACAACGTTTATGCTTATGCAGCATACACTTTTGAATATGAAAAAGTCTAGAGTTCAAAAATCATGGTGGGGTTAAGAATAGTAACTTATTGATGCACGATTTTATCAATCATTATGTGATATCATTGGGTATGAATATTATCATGATTGGCATTTGATTCTTCTTAAATTATGAATTGAAAAATGAAACATGGCAATTAGTATATTGTTGCTTCATTTGGTGGACCATGCCTTTTGTTTCCATGATTCTCACCTCTCCTCCTCCATTTGCTGCGCCGCTACTTTCTCCATCGTAGTCGGTCGACACCGTCATCTCTCATGTAGTCTCGTTCATTCTTATCTTCTTTCTCATTGTCTCTGAGTTTGTTCTCTCCAGCTTCGATTAGCATTCTGCAGATTCAGTCCTTCATTAGGGTGATTGTCTGGGTTCGTTCTCTCAGCCCTGATCGATTATTATGTTCTTTGTTCGTTTTCTTCAGCTAATTTTTCTGTTCTAAGCTTTTTTTTTTTTCCTTCAGATTTTTTAGTCCAGCTATTCTACTTCAGAGTTAAGTACCTTGTTATGCTTGAGGCATATTTATGAGACCGAGCATTGCATTATAGAGAGTGCAAGCAAAAGCAAGAGTTCGATCCACTCTTGTATTAGTAAGCTTCGAGCTTCGAATCTTCCCATGGAGGCTTTCACTCATGTCAGCGACATGTATGATGGGGCACTCAAGCCTCGCTTGCTTCATACCCTTATCAAAGACCACCTTCCTGATGAGAAGCATCCCTTTTCGAATCCCTCAGAGCTTTCACGTGTTGTTTCCATTGTCAGAACTCACCATCTCCTTGCTGAAGCCATCACTGACGAGATGAACCAAAAGCAAATTGAGCGATGGAAATCGGCTGTTGATTTGTGGGTCGACTGCATATTGACTCTCACCTCCAGTGACATGGTAAATATGATTATTCTATGGTTGCACTTTGTTTTCAATGAATAGGGGCATTTTTAATTTTTCATATGAGCAAAAGCCGTGATTTTTAGACTGAGTTATTGGTTCCATGGTTGGATTTTTCATACTCTTTACTGCTTCACATACAATAGTTTATGCTTGATTTATAATCGAGTTTTGTTGAGTATGGGATGTTGGAAGGTACATTTATGTGAATTTTATGGTCATATTTCTATGTCGTAGCCAGATAAATGTTGGGCAGGTATCTCTTTGCTGGGGTTTACTTGTCAAGAGTGCAGCTCTCCTCGTTTCCTAGAATCCTGCTCTGAATGGTTTGAGAAGTTGCTACAGTTTTTACAGGTATCAAGCTGTTTTTGTGTGCATTTGGCTTCTTGGCTTGTAAGCTTTCTTGAACTTCCATTTCCTCTTCAAATTTTAACTGTGGATTTCCTGTTGATTAAACTTTATATGTATACTTGTCTCTCCCACGGAAGAACAAAGAAAATCCTGCACAGTCTCTTTTAAAACCCCTTGCAAATCTTGATGAATTTTGGAAAAGAGATGGTAACGTGGGATACAAGAAAGGTGGTTTTGAATGAGGGATGCATGATGACCTCCGAAAGAAAAATAGGAACCATTTATACAATTGTTGATCTCTTTCTCTAGATGATCCCTGAAGTGGCATTCATTTATCAATCAGTTGTCTTTACTTTAGTCATCTAGTATTTGACTATACTATGTGTGAAACTTGTTTGGTTGGACTCCCTATTTGCATTTCTTTTTTCAGCGTATGCATATGCTCAAACACATGCATCACTTGGTTCTGTACATGGTTGAGGGTCTGGATTTGAACTGAGTCATATTTGATTTATTTATATATTTTTTGGTTGTTGCTGTTATTGTTATGTACCTACATCGACATGTCTTTCTTGCTACATATTTAAACAGTCGCCAGCAAGTTCCCATTTTGTGAGGGTGGCTTCCGTTGCTTCGATGTCTGATTTATTTTTAAGGTTAGATCCTTCTTTTTACTCAGATTTTTTTCTTATTCATCAGTGTACAATCGTAGACATGTCCTGTAAAATGCTTATGTTTGGTAGTGATTGACAAAATCCTTTTTGCCCCAGACTAGCAACTCTATATATATATATATATATATTCATCTTTATATATGCTAGATTAGCATGTATAAAGATGTGCAATGAGTAAAATGTTTCACTCTTACACCTTGTTTACTCACCTCTACATATGCACAATCATATGCTTATTGGTTAGTGAGTTTTTCATATGCTATTAATTATTAAATTAAATACATTAATAAAAGTATTGTCAAGTTCCCCAATATTTGGATTCCACACATGCAATGCTTGCTAAATTTCTGAACTATAAATGGGACCTCTTTTTTCCCTTTTTGGGGAAAGGCATTCTTTTGCGTTTTATTTGAATTAATGTCACTGTAATTGTGCAGTTTTGGCTTAAGGAGTGAATAATGTAAATTCATTTTCTGGAGTCTTTCCTTTAAATATTGGTGTTATAAAATATATTACTACAGCCATCTTCTGCTCAGTGCTTCTTGTTCAAGAGTCAGTTTGTTTTCAATAATTGGAGTACAGAGTTGGTTAAGAATGATTACTCAGCAGAACTAAAAACTTGGTTCTTACTTTCATACATCTTTGCCTTGGGTGAAATCAATTAAAAATGATCTGTCTTGAGTCTATTAGCTTGATGATGTGCCTCGTACTCTTTTCTGATATAGGCTGAGTGGATTTCCTAATGTTAAAAAAGATGGGTCTTCCTTTGCTGCAAGAGTTGTTCAACCAGTTCTGAAGCTGTTAAATGATGAGAGCTCAGAGGTTATATTGGTAAGTAGTACTGTACTAGCATAATCTGAAGATTATGATTCTATTTTTAATTCTAAATAATTAATAAAAAAATTCAATAAGTAAAACGGATGAAGATACATATTTTGTTGTGTTGGCAACATTTCTTTTGGCAGGACTTACAAGAAGTAGAAAAATTCTGTGATCATGTTGTGAGACTGGGAGAAACATTTGTTTTGAAGTGAATTTGTGATTAGATTTCATCATGTAGTGAGACGTCATCTTGAGTGAATTACAGCTAAAGGCCCAATATAATTATGAACAACATATGTTGATAGATTAAAAGTAAGTAACCATTTGTTTCACTGCAAAATGCCAAAAGAATATACTCAATTTTCTCACAGTAGTTTTCCTGTTCCTGGAATTGTTTTTCTTTTTTGTTGGAAAAAAAAAAAAGTTTGCAGAATACCTCTACTTTTGCTCCCCCCTTCTTCCTCACTTTGTCTCTCAAAAGTGCGAAGTGATGAACATGTCTTGCTGTTAAAACTTAGCTTGTCTGGAAGACCAAAAGTTTATTATGAATCCCTTTTTTGCTGAATGCTGCAGGCAGTTGACCTGACAATATTACTTTCATTGCATGCTTATCGCCCTAGTTTTTCCTTTTCAGTTCTTTTATATCTGCTTTTTTAACTTAATGGAGATTCATTTGTTGTCTGGGTTGTGTTGCATGCAGGAAGGTGCGCTGCATTTGTTATGTACAATAATGACTTCATTCCCATTTGCTGTTCAACGTAATTATGACAGTGTAAGCTTCTCTTCTTTTTGTTGCAACACTGCGTACATGTTTAATTCAATATATTCAATTAATAGTTTCAAATTGTGTATTCTCTGTGTTTTTCTGGTACAATTGAGTTGTAAACAAATTCCACTAATCTCTTTTAATCAGAAATTTCTGAAGAATATAATTTTTTATTTTAACAAGGAATTCTGATTTATGTAAAATCTAAATAAAATAAATGGTAATTTGGAAAGTACAAACCTTGGAGAACATTGTGAAACTCCAGTTGACAATAAGAACGTGTCTTATCTTACTAGGTGAGATCAACTAAGGGAATTGCAAACCAATTTTTCAAATATATCATCCACCAGTAGATCCTATTTGATAACTTCCTTGAGTGTCCTTCTTGATCATCCTCTACATCTTTTCATGGGTGTAAGGACTGTCTGTCTATTCGGCCCTCCTAATTGTTGTCTCTCTGGGCTTCTTCTATCCATCTTCAAACCAAGCTTATCAAATGGGGTTATGAATTGTGAATCAGAAAGTCTATTTTTTGAACCTTATATTGAAACTTATATTGAAACGTATCAATTATTAAGGATGACATGTATGTAATTTTCATATAAGAGAACATAAGAAGTTTATAGATATTAGCATTTAGCATAAAGAGTAAATATCACAGCACATCAAGATTCAAGTTATATAGTGAAATAGACAAAATGACAGTGACTATATGGGGTGTATACACCTCCTGAAAAATCAAAAAGCCAATACATATCAAATTTCAGTGACAAATAATCTCTATGATTAATTCAAATTCGTAAAGTCACTATCACATTTTAAAACCCTAACTTAAAAAGACTAAACACATCATTCATTACTCATCATTATCTCCAAGATCAATGTTATTCAATTCATCATCATTCTCCATTAACAATGTCACTTCTTATTCGTCCTCCTCCCCATCGTCAACATTTTCTTCATTCTCATTATCTTGTTTTATTATAGATTTCCTTTTGCTATTGGCTCTAGCATTCAGGTTTCTGGGACTTAGAGAAAAAACTCTAATAATCATGATGATATACATATTTAAACTAGAATTAACATAAGTTTAGTTTTAAATAAAATATTATACCTCTCTTCCTTTTCTTTTTGGGAGCTTCCCCATCAAGAGTGAAACTTTCACATATGTCCATCTATGACCCATCAATTGGCAAGCACGAATTTTCTTTTTCAGTAATCTACTCATCATCAAATTCAATATCTAATAAACAGATTGGATCATATGTCAGTCCCCTCTCTTCTTTACTCTTTTGTCTCGTTTCAACTTAAATGTTGTACTTAACAAACAAGTACATTTAACGTTTATTGCTTTAAGTGATTTCTTTGCTTAATATGCACTTCATCAAAGATGCTCTAATATCCAATTTCTCTCATTCAATAACATTACATGTGGGACTCAAGATTCTCATGGTTATCTCTTGTAATTCCTTACTTTCTCCATAACTTTCCCACCAAAGAGCTACTAAAACAAATGCAATAATATTTTAGAAATGCTTTCGAAAATTTAGATTTACTTGGAATTAAAAATTAAACTCTGAAAAATAGTACTCCTCCGTTTCTTAATATAAAACCTATTTAACTATTTTGATTAAATTAAGGACGTTAATTAAATTAGGTAATAATCATAAATATGGCATATGTTTCCCAACATACCCTTAGTTAAAAGACGTATTTAACTACTTTGATTAAATTAAAGAAGTTAGTTAAATTAGATAATAATCATAAATATGGCATATGTTTCCCAAAATACCCTTAGTCAAAACTTCTTTAAAAAACTTACATTTCAAAAAATATTTTAAATTATTTTATTAAAAATATAAAACGGTAGAATTGATGGCTATGGGGAATTAATGAGTAGTAAATACTCACTCACTTTATAAAATATGTAGGTGTATTATTAATGAGTAATAAGTATTATTGTGGTATTTAATTATTTAATAGGAGTAATTTAGGAAAGAATTGATAAATATGAGAAATAGGTCCTATATTAAAGACCAGAGGAGTATAATTTAGAGAAAGGTATTATAGTTTTTTTTTTTTTTTGGGTCTCTAGTAGTATTTATTGCCATGCTCCTTCCAAAAAACCTTTTAGCAGCCTTGAATGCCTCAAGTTGTTGATCAATTGCAAATCTTGTCCTTCTGTTTAGAACCATTCTCTCAATACTTTCATATAAACCATAATAAATTTCGTTGTCCGCATTAAGTCTTTTGTTATAATGGAATCTAATAAAACAATAAATGAATTTTGTTTTTCTAACATACACTTGAGCAATAAGTGCATAAAACTTACTTAGGATTAAGATAGTAGGTAACTGCATGGATAAGCCTATATAGTTGCAAATTCCAATGGGTATCAATGATTTTCCACACCTTATACCTTGATTCATCCTTTTGAAAATTTTCAGCAATTTTTTTTTCTTTTGGCTCTACCCATTGCTTCATAAATATATGGTTCTATTTCACCATTTACAAGTCCGGAGAGCATTCTTTTGCTGTAATATGCAACTTAATGTATGGTAAGCGGTTGCAAATTTAGTCACTATTGATCTAGCTAATTCTCTTCCCTTGGAATACTTTCAATACAAGTCAAGGACCCATGCCATATATTTATAAAGCCATGGATAGAGCTAAAGATGAAATTGCTGAAAATTTTCAAAAGAAGGAATCAAGGTATAAGAAGGTGTGGAAGATCATTGATATTCATTGGAATTTGCAACTACATAGGCCTCTTTATGCGGCTATCTACTATCTTAATCCTAAGTAAGTTTTAAATATTTATTCTTTAAGTGTATGTTAGAAAAACAAAACTTATTTATTGTTTTAGTAGGTTCCATTAGGACAAAAGATTTAATAACAACAAAATTTATTATGGTTTATATGAAACTATTGAGAGAATGGTTCTGGATATAAGGATTATTTGCAACTGATCAACAACTTGAGGCATTCAAAGTTGCTAAGAGGCTTTTTGGAAGGAGCATGACAATGGATACTATAGAGACAAAAAGCAACGCAGTACCTTTCTCTTGTCTCTACTATTTCTTAGAAATTAATTTTTAATCCATAATTTATCATTAGAAAGCATTACTAAAATATTAATACATTTGTTTTGGTAGTTTCTTGGTTGAAAAGTTAGGGAGAAGGTAAGGAGTAACAAAAGGTAGCCATGAGAGTTTTAAATCTCACATGCAGTACTATGGATGTGAGAAAAATTGGAGCACCTTTGATCAAGTGTATACTAAGCGATTAATGTACTTGTGTGTGAGAAGTACAACCTTCAACTTGAGATAAGACAAAAGAGTAGAGAGGAGAAGGGGGGAGACATATGATCCAATCTGTTTATCAGATATTGAATATGATGATAAGTAGACTATTGAAAAAGAAAATCCATGCTTGCTAATTGATTAGTCATGGATGGATATACATGGAAGTTTCACTCTTGATGAGGGAGTCCAAGCAAGAAAAGGAAGAGAGGTATAATATTTTATTTAAAACCAAACTTAGGTTGATTCTAGTTTAACTATATACCATCATGCTTATTAAGTGGTTTTTTTTTTGGGTCTAGATCCAAGAAACTTGAATATCAAAGCTAACAGCAATGGGAAACCTATAATGGGAAAAGTAATGAGAATGTTGAAGATGGGGAGGAGGAGGATGAAGAAGAAGTGACATTGTTAATGGAGGATGATGATATATTAAGTGATGTTGATCTTGTGGAGATAATGATGAGTGATGAATATTTTTAGTCTTTTTAAGTTAGGGTTTTAAAGTGTATTTGAATTGATCTTGGGGACTATTTGTCATTGAAATTTGATATGTATAGGCTTTTTTTATTCTTTTAGGAGGTGTATAGAACTTATATAGTCACTATCATTTTGAGTATCTCGTTGTATAACTTTAGTCTTGATGTGTTTTGATGTTTACTCTTTATGCTATTATGTACAAACTTTTGATGTTTTCTTATATGAAAAAAGTAGACTTTCTAATTCACAAGTGGTATCCCGACTTGATAACCTTGCTTACAACAGTTAGATAAAACTTCCCTTTATGCTTAATAGGCACTTTGTGATCACAAATAATTCCTAATGTCTTCCTATATTTCAACGACACAACTTGTATCCTATGGTTTAGCAACTCCAATTAACAGGGAGCCAAAAATTCTGAATAAAAATCAAGAACAGTGTATGACGAAAAAGCAGGCCCCTTTTTGAATGTGGCACTTGCTATAGTTTACTTGAATTCTGCTTCACCAAAACTATGGACTGTGCGAATAGCCATTAGGGGTGTTCAGAAACCCAATATCATGCAGGGAAACTGCCAACCCAATAATCACTGCTACTCATGTAAGCCCTGGTAATTTAATTCCTTGGTGATATACTCCTTCAGTCCTTAATATAAGACCTATTTAGTTAATTTGATAAAATTAATAAAGTTAGGTAAGTTAGTTAATTATATGAAATATGACATTTTTTCTAAAACATTATAATCATCTTTCTTAATATCCTTTCTCTCTTTTTTAGTTGATTATGATTGAAGGAGTATCAATAAGGATAATTTAGGAAGAATTGATAAATATGATAAATAGGTCTTATATTGAGGACCAAAATCAATTCAACAATTAGGTCCTACATTAAGGACTGGAGAAGTAAATTTTATGGGTCTTCAATTTCTTTAAGGATCAGCAATGGTTGTTGTAACAGGTTTTGGGAGGATGCTTGGGTGGGGAATTATCTCTCTTCCAAGCTTTCGTAAGACCAGTTCTTCTTTGCCTAATATCCCAGTTCAAAGCTTAATTGATTCAAGGGACTGGTCATTCTTGAAATTTCCACTTTCAAAGGGATGTTATGGATAAGAATTCTTATAAATTTGAATCCCTATGTTTCTTGTTCCCATTTATCTTTCAAGCACCGCAATCAGACAGTTCTGATTATACATTCAATGAATAACTGTAAAACAAACGTTCAGCATCTTCCTCTTCTATCATTTGCATTATGTGAACGAATGGTAAATTAACTCAACTATATTTAGAAGGCTGAATGAGCAACCACATTCTGTAGTTGCTTCTTAGTGGAATAAGCTGTTGGAGTTCATGGGTGAGCATTGGGTGTCTTCTGAATTCAGGGCACCCTCTCCTCTCAATGTTATTGTGGCTTGATGAGTATTTCAATTCATGCAGGTTGAATTTGCTGTTGCTTCTAAACTTATGTCAGGAGGATTCAGTCAACATCTGTTGAAGGTAATGTGCCTCCTCTTTCTCAACTGTCTACAAAAGCTGAGGTTTAATTATTTGCTCCGCCTTGAAGTTGCTGGCCTACAAAAGCTTAGGAAAGAAGACACAATAATAAATAATTGGTTATATTATGTAGCAACCTTTGTGGCCTTGGCAAGTTAGTGGCCTCATTTCTCTATTATACCTTTTTTTGATCATTATATAAAAATTTCTATTGCCTTTTCGTTATTTTTTCAAGATGGGGATACGAGAGTCACTATTTATCCTCAAAATCTCTTTTTTCATTCCCTTCCATTTTATTAAATGAGCCCTAATCAAATATCCTACTTCTATTGGGACACTTGCATGAGCTAATAGAAGTTTAACCCCTGACTAAATCTTAAATACCCTAATCACCTGTACCAACCTTGTTTCCTGATTATAATGATATCATTACTGTCATAACAACATAAAATTGAGTATTTTCTCAATATGCATTAGAATATTGAACTCTTTTTCTCTGGATGTATGGTCTCTTATTAAAAAGTGTGTGCGTGCATATATGTATAGAGAGGGTCCTGATAATATTATGTGTCCTGGCTTTTGTTTGGTCTTGTAATTCCAGAAACTAGCTTATTCCCTAGCATTGCTTCCAAAATCAAGAGGAGATGCAGAAAGCTGGTCTGTGTTGATGCAGAAAATTTTGGTCATAATAAATGATCAATTGAATCATTCCTTTCAAGGTCTAGAAGAAGGTATATGTCACTGTTATTTGATTTATTGGCGTGGTTAATGACAGTAGTTGACTACTTTGCACATATTGCAGAAACCAAGCGCTATGAATTTGTTAAATTATTGGTTCCACCTGGAAAAGATCCTCCTGCAGCTTTAGGAGGCTATATATCTGCTGAAAAAGCAAGTTATAAAGCAACAAAAAAGTCTGAGCAGTCATCAGCCTCTATTGTCTCTACACTTTTGCATTGTTGTTGCACAATGCTCACAAATTCCTATCCCTTTAAGGTACTGTTTAGTTCTTTCAAGAGAGAATGAGGGTCCAATTTGTATCACTGCAAATTTTTCTGATTTAGAAAAATGGTGGAAATCAACTTGATGATTTGCCAGGTAAATGTTCCTGTTCGCATGTTATTGGTCCTTGTTGACAGAGTACTGATGGTGAATGGATCTCTGTCACAAATGTCAATGCCCTTTGTGACTTCCAAGCAGCAAGAGGATATTTGTTCTGAACTTCCTGTTTTGCACTCATATGCCCTGGAATTGCTGACTGCTGTTGTGAAGGGTGTGGGCAGGTATGTGTGCTTAATACCTTTTTCCCTCCTTTCTATGGTATAACCATGAAAAGAAAAGGATGAAATGCTCTGTTGGTAGTGCAACTTATGATATAAATGAAATATTGAACTTTCTGGAACCTGAAGAGTTTTGATGTGTCAAAAGTCATTTATATTGATGCCTTTGTCTTGCCTTTCTTGAGTTTACTTTCTTTGCCTTGGTCTATAACTTGCAATAATTTGTCTCACAATGTTTTCACAAAACATGCTCTAGCTCATGGACATTTGATTTGTATTTATTGCCTCATTGTCCTGTACATGTATTATTGTGTTTTGATTTCTTAGTTATTTAATTTATTGTTCGTATTGTTACTTTATTGTCAAATTTTGCTTCTTAATACACATCATTTTGAAGGTTCTTGCACATATTATGGATTTTGTCATGTGTAACTCATGATATCAATCTCAGCTTCTGTTGTAAAAAACTTTGTTCTGAACATGATTACTATTATTTGGCTATTATTAGTTCTCTGATAGAAGTCGAACGCAAAAACTGAATGTTTATTCAACTAGGACGGTCGATACATATAGGAGAAGAAGATGCGATAATATCGCATGTAATCTTATCTAAATCAATCCTAAAAACTAATCACAACAAATCTGGAAGAATTATTTAAATTCCTAAATAAGAGGCAGAAAATAATGCTAAATAAAAGGAGTGTAATTAATCAAAATGGAGTAGGATCATGTTCGGTTTGGGCCTAATGAGAAGGAGCCCACTTTCAACACTCCCCCTCAAGCTGGCGAATAGATGTTGATCATTCCTAGCTTGTTTGTAAGCTCTTCGAATTTGGCTTTGACCAATGGTTTGGTCATCATGTCTGCAATTTGTTTTCCTGTAGAGATGTAAGCCAGATCAACCACTTTAGCCTCTATTTTTTCTTTGATAAAGTGATGGTCAATTTTTACATGCTTCATTTGATCATGTTGAACGGGATTGTTGGCAATTTTTAGGGCCGCCAAGCTGTCGCCCCACCTCTAAACAGGTGTAATTACTTCAATGCCTAGTTCTCGTAGTAGGCTAACAATCCATATTCCCTCACAAATTCCTAGAGCCAAAGCTCTAAATTCTGATTCTGCTGAGCTTCTTGATACAACTAGCTGTTTCTTGCTCCTCCAAGTAACAAGATTTCCCCAGACGAATGTGCAGTAACCGGTAGTGGAGTGTCTGTCATTAACTGCTCCTACCCAATCGGCATCAGTGTACACTTCTGTGTTTCTACTATCTTCTATGTCGGGTGCCCTTTTGTTTGCATCAGTATATATCTGAACTCCTTTCTGATCTCCCTTAGAGAAGAAGAGACCCTTACTTGGAGTTCTCTTAAGATATTTGAGAATTCGTTCAACCGCCTCCATATGTTCCTTTTGGGGACTGCTTGCAAATTGACTCAACCCCAACTGCAAATGATATGTCTGGCCTTGTGTGGGATAGGTATATTAATTTTCTAACCAACTTCTGGTACCTTCCTTTGTTCGCTGTTTTTCCGTCTGGCTTTATTTCTAGTTTGCAATTCTGTTCCATCAGGGTTTCTGCTTGTCTTGTTCCTAACATCCCGGTTTCCTTGAGAAGATCTAGTGTGTATTTCCTTTGAGACAAGCTGATGCCTTTCTGTGATCTGGCAACTTCCAATCCCAGGAAGTACCTTAGGTAGCCTAGATCCTTTACCTCAAATTCTGAGGCTAATTTCCTCTTCAATGTTGTGATTTCATTGTCATCATTCCCTGTTAATACAATGTCATCCACATAGACAATTAACACAGTTATTTTATGATCAATGCGTTTGACAAATAGTGTGTGGTCTGTTTGGCACTGTTTGTAGCCAAATCCAGTGATTGCCGGCATGAACCTCCCAAACCACGCTCTTGGTGATTGTTTAAGTCCATATAGAGACTTGCGTAGCCTACATACCTTACCTTCATTTCTTGATTCTTTGAGCCCAAGGGGTATTTCCATGCATACTTCCTCTTCTAAGTAGCCATTCCAAAAGGCATTTTTTATACCCAATTGATATAATGGCCAATCCAAGTTTGCAGCTAGTGAGAGCAAAACGTTTATAGTGTTGAATTTGGCCACTGGTGCAAAGGTTTCTTGGTAATCTATACCATATGTTTGGGTGAAGCTTTTTGCTACTAATCTGGCTTTGTACTTGTTGGTGCTTCCATTTGGATTATCCTTTTTAGTAAATACCACAGTTTTCCCTTGAGGCAAATCAACAATATCCCAAGTTCCATTTTTAATCAAGGCCCTTAGTTCTTCGTCAATTGCCAATTTCCAATTATGATCAACTATTGCCTCATTAACTGTTCCTGGGATCTCTTCTTTGTCTATATTGACAACAAAGGTCTTAAATCGAGAGGTGAGTTTGTCATAAGAAACATACCTACTTATCGGGTACCGTGTACAGCTTCTTTTTCCCTTTCTGAGAGCTATGGGCCATTGGAGATCTACAGGATTAACCTCAGGTATGGATTCATGACTTGGCCTTGGAACATTAATGGGCTCTTCACCGGTATGGTTCAAAAGAAGACTCGGTATGATTAGGAAGAGGAGAAGCAGGTCTGGTTGTGGTCTCAGGTTGGAATTCTGATGTGTTAGAGGTAGTTTCTGGTGTGTTGGGTGTGATCTCTGTGGCTAAGGAGGGTGGTTTAGGTGGTTCAGTAACTTCAGGATTGAGAAAGGTGACATCTAAGGATGTTTGGTCATCTAGAGATGTTTAGGTGTTATTGGTAGGATTGCTACTTTGCTGTTCAGATTGTTGATCTATCCAGATTGGCCATTCACTACCTCTCTCCCCCTAAATAGGTAATTTGGGATAGAAAGGTAGGTTTTCAAAAAATTTAACATTCATAGCAACATACACTCATTTTGTGATAGGAGAATAACACTTGTAGCCCTTTTGAGTAGGAGAGTACCCTAGGAATATATATTTAATTGATCTAGACTCAAGTTTTCCTTTGTCACCATCAAACACAAATGTTGTACACCCAAAAACATGTGGAGGAAGAGAATGAATGAGATAAGAGTGAGGATAAGTTGCTAAGAATTTTTGATGGCATACAATTGATCAAATATGCAGCGGTAAGCACAGCATCTCCCCAATAAAAATTTGGTACATTTTGACTCAGTAACAGAGATCTAGTGACTTTTAAAAGATGTCGGTTTTTGCATTCAGCTACCCCATTTTGTTGGGGTGTATTGGCACAGGACTTTGATGGAGAATGCCTTTTTCAGTTAAAAAAGGTTGTGAGGTGAGAATTAACAAATTCCTTTCCATTATCACTCCGAAAAATCTTAATTAAAGTCTAGAATTGATTTTGGACAAAGGTATAAAAAATTTTAAAAATAGAGAACACCTCAGATTTTTCTTTCATAAAAAACAGCCATGTTAAGCGAGTATGATCATCTATAAATGTTACAAACCATTTGGCCTTAGAGGTAGTAGCAACCCGAGAAGGACCCCAAACATCACTATGAATAAGAGCAAAAGGTTGTGTAGGTGTGTAGGCATGAGATGGGTAAGAAGTACGAGTCTGTTTGGCTAGTTGACAAGTTTTGCAATAAAACTGAAAATTCCTTTTATTCATAGAATTTGGAAACAAAAATTTCATGTAATCAATACCTGGATGTCCAAGTCTAAAATGCCATAACATAAAATCTTCTATAGAAGAAAAACTAGAGGTTTGGGAAGTAGATGCAGCCACATATCTATTAGTTGTAGTTCCTTCAAGGTAGTACAGCCCATTATGTTTCTTAGCTTTGCCAATCATCCTCCCTAAGATTAAGTCCTGAAAATCACAATGAAGCTTATCAAAGATAATGAGACAATTTAATGCATGGGTTGCACAATTCACAGATAGCAAGTTGCAAGGGATTTCTGGAACATAAAGGACATTTTTTAGTACTATATTATCTGAAATAGTAACAGTTCCTGATCCCTTAACCTTAGCATATGTATTATTAGCAACCTGAACTCGAGTATGTTCAGAATATGGCCTAAATTCATAAAATAATTCCCGGAACCCAGTAATATGATCAGTAGCACCTGAATCAATAATCCATATATTTTTGGATCTGGTTACAGGGCTTAGTGCAGCAAGTAGAATAGTACCTGAATGAGCTAAGGTAACAAAGGGGGTAGATTTCTCATTATTTTTCTCACCAGAGTACTTGTCCAAAATCTGTCTAAGCAACGTGAGTTCATCAACACTCAGACTCCCACTGTCCGAATTCACTGTGAGTAGACCTTTACCATCTCCCCTGTTTCGTTGCTTCAAGTGTGCTGGCTTTCCATGAATTTTCCAGCAAGTGTCCCGAGTATGCCCATTCTTATTGCAATGATCACATCTCAAGGAAGACTTCCTCCCTTTTTGGTCACCTCCCCGGTTACTTCGTGTGACCATAGCTGATCCCTCTGTCCCTAGTGCAAGGGAAAGAGACAGAAAAGGAGAAGTGATGCCAGAGGTGATGTGAATGAGTTCTTTTCAACTCTCCTCATATCTGACCATACTGAAGATTTCTTCAAGGGATGGGAGTGGTTGCATTCCCATTATGCATCCTCTTACATCCTCAAACGTGTCGTTAAGACCGAGAAGAAAGTCAAAACATCTTTCTCGTTCTATTACCTTTTTGAAGTTCATTCTATCAGATTGGCATGCCCAATGACATACCTCATATAAATCGAGTTGCTGCCATAACTTCATTAGTGCACTGAAATATTGGGTCGCCATTTTCTGCCCCTGCGTGAGAGATCGCAACATTTGCTTTACTTAAAGGAGTGCCACTGTGTTATCTTTAGTGGAGAAGGTGCTCTTGGCCAATTCCCATATTTCTCGAGCAGAGTTGGCCAGGAGATAATTCTTGCTAATGTCGGTATTCATGGAATGAATCAACCATGTCATCACCAAATTATTTTTGGCGCACTAGGCTGCATACTTCGAGTCCTTTGGTTCTGGTGGTTTCAGGTCCCATGTCAAGTAATGTTCCTTGTTTCGTCCTCTTATGAACATCAGAACATTCCTGGACAATTGTAGATAGTTTTTGCCATTTAATTGGTGCGTAATCATCATCTGCAAGAAGGAGTCAGCAGCTGGAATTATTCCCGTCGAACACGATGCTCCAGATTGAGGGCTTCCTTCGAATTCGGCCATCGCGTGGGAGTCTCCTGCACTTCTCGACGGATTCTGGGTAGAGTCGCTGCTGGTGGTGAAGACTTGTGATGGTCCGATCATCGCATCTCTTAAGGACCGAGCCATTGCTCTGATACCATGATGGAAGTCGAATGCGAAAACTGAATGTTTATTCAACTAGGACAGTCGATACATATAGGAGAAGAAGATGCGATAATATCGCATGTAATCTTATCTAAATCAATCCTAAAAACTAATCACAACAAATCTGGAAGAATTATTTAAATTCCTAAATAAAAGGCAGAAAATAATGCTAAATAAAAAGAGTGTAATTAATCATAATGGAGTAGGATCATCTTCTGTTTGGGCTTAATGAGAATGAGCCCACTTTCAACATTCTCCAACTGCTGCGGAGTGTCTATCAGTTATGTCTTTTATCCAAACTAAAATCCTTTTTAAGCTTTCTCCGTTCTTGCTTCCTCTTCCTTTTTCATTGCTTCAATTTATGATAAGTAATTTGGTTTCCTTTTTGGTTCTTTTTTTCCTTGATCAGCTTGTCATCTTTCACTCTATACCATGTATGACTTTGGGTGTGATTGATTTCCTCATTTATCTTTTGTGCATTTTATTTCTTGCAAAATTGCAGAATTCTCCTTATTGACAATATATGTAATGCAGTCAACTGTTACCACATGCTGCCTTGACCGCTCGAATAATTACAATGTACTTCAAGATGTGTGCATTGCCAGAATTAAGAATCAAAGTCTATTCCATCGCAAGAATTCTCCTTATATCCATGGGTGTTGGTATGTACAATTTCTTTACAGAGATGTCTCCTTTCTTACTGTTGATATCATTTTGTTGACAAAGAGTGGCTATTTGAACTGTCTTGTTCTGAACCACTGGAGGTGTACTTTCAAATTCCCATTTTTCTTTCATTGGGTTTAACTATGTTGTTGATCTGTGGCTAAAAGCTCAATGGAATAATTGCTTTACCATCGGGCTCTATGCTAACATTTTTCAATTAGAAAAAGTGAATAATTCCATGTACTAATAAAATATTAACATTTTAGTTTACTAATCAGTCATTGTGAACAGGAATGGCTTTATGCCTTGCACAGGAAGTGGTCAACAATGCCTTTGTTGATTTGAGTACCATCAGGAAAAAGGGTCCTGGCACATCGAGTCTTTCAAATTCAAATGCAGCTACTAAAGCATTGCTACAGCCAAAAAGTAGAAAAAGGAAGCATAAGAGTATGACAGGTTCTCTTCAGCATCAGGAGCATGATGAAGTTAGCTTTTCGGCAGCAGATGCTCCAAAGAACTATCCAGCGACTCCAATTTCTCTGAGGATAGCTGCGCTTGAAGCGCTTGAGGTTCTTATCACTGTGGTAAGTTATATTTCACATCTTCATGGATGTTTACCTCCTTCATTGGCTTTTTAGGTTCCTCCCCCCCCCCCCCCAATTTCCACATCATCGGTGAAATCAATTTGTGCAAACTGTAAAGTGAGACAACCGTCATAAAATCAATCACAATGCTATCCTGGCAAGCCACAATTATAAAGATTCTTTCTTGTACACTTTCATTTATCCAAACAACTACAGTTTTTAAAATCATTTGATTAATTGATATCTGAAATGGGTGATCTACAGTTTTACAAAAAAATGATTGTTTTGACACAATGCTGGCATGAGTGATTCGTGATAACCATTATTATTTAATTTTAACTCTGCTTTTAGCTAGTTGACTTAAGATTTACAAAAGTAATTACTATCCCAAAAAATGAAGGAATAAGAATACTTCTCTTTTTCGTTGCTTTTTGTAATAGACTGGCAGACAGCCTAGAGAACAAAGCTTCCACGGTTTGCAGGCTTCGAAGAGGGCTGGACCTACTTTTGGTCTCCTTATATGTAGCCTTACCCTGCATTCTTTTTGGGTTGTTTTTTTTTCTTAATAGGGAAAAAATTATTGGATGGAATTAGAATATAGGAGAATAATGCATCCTGTGATGGAACAAGAAAATAGAGAATCACAATGATCGGAAAAGCCCAAAAAAAAAAAAAACTTAGTGTGTAAGGACACCAAACTGAAGATCTATAAACATTATCTCACATAAAAGAGAGGCTGTTGAAGAATCGGGCAATGTGCTTTGGAGGGAAGTGTCTGAAGATTTTCATAATAAAACATTAAATCCTGACAAATTGATCTTAATCTAATGATACAGAATTCTTCTTATTCTCCAAAAAATGGTGGCGTCTTCAACACCCCCCCCCCCCAAAAAAAAAAAAAAAAGCAAAACAACCCCACACACACAAAACCAAATTCTCTCCGTCCTCATTCCAATAAAGGGCAGTGTCATCAGCAAACCATAGATATGAATACATCCCCTGGTAACCTACAGAAATACATTTAATTAAATCCTCTATTAACAGCTCTACAAAAATCTTAAAATTTTCTTGTAGGCTAATGCATGCAAGTGATTGCATCGTTTTTTTTTTTTTTTTTTTTTTGGGGCCTTTGAATAGAATATTAATTTGCGCACAACATTTTTATCACTTTCGACAGGGTGGCAGTTTAAAATCTGAAATATGGAGGTCAAAAGTTGATAATCTTTTGATAGTCATAGCAGTTGACTCATTTGAAGGATGGGTCAGTGAGGAAATAAATACGTTTGAGCAAAAGGAGTCTGCTGTTACTTCTGCTGATTTGCAGCTTGCTGCATTACGTGCTCTTTTGGCCTCGTTCCTCTCATTTTCTCGAGCACGACCCCCACATTTAGCTCAGGGTCTTCAACTATTCCACAGAGGTACTTTCATTCATCGATATGGAACTCTTGCCATTATCGTTAATCTTCTTATTCCTCCTTAAAGTAGCAAATAATTGATAAATTTTTTATGCTTCCCAAGAAGAAATATTCGTAGAAATTGCTGTTAGGAAGATTAGTGGTTCTTGTCATATAAAATTGGGTATTGACTGTTAAAAGAAACAGTGTTTACACCTTACAGATGAGAGGAAGTGTTCAACTTCATTTTATATTATGCTTCAATTTCTTCAACGTTTTGTTTTCTAATTTTTGCTTTGTCACTTGGTTGTTTTTTTGTAAAGCATTTGAGAGTCAAGCCAAAAAAAATTGAATTATCCCCCAATCTACTGTAGATAGTATGTGAACTTAATTCCATCTAGGACAGCTTATGGTGGTCCCTGATAACAAGGGAGGTAACTCAAATTTCGTCTCTGGAGTACCACTCTGGCCCTCCTGTTATTTTGGTGAATACTGCCTTATACCACCATTATTAGCTTAGTACCCATTCGTGTTAATGGTAAACTCGATACTTTTTCAGTATTATCTGCGCATTTTTTGCCACTGTTAGCATGATATGAGAGTCATGAAATCCATTCTTAAGCCTTTATAGATTGTCACCCTTGGTCTTATGTCCAAAATTTTTATTGACCAGAGAGCAAATGGAATATATTTTTCATGTATATTCATGATCAGAAAGGGAGATTATATACATAAGAGAGGAGTCCTAGGCATTAATAGCTCATTAATAGGAGATAATATCCTATCGTATAATATCCTATGATATCTGATTTGATCCTATACTAACTACAATATATCTACATATCTTTACACTCCCAGATGTCAATCATGCCCAACTTGTTACAAAGATAGTCAACCCGAACCCCATTTAAAGCTTTAGTAAGGAGATCACCCAATTGGTCACTGGATTTCACGTGTCCTGTTGAGATGAAATTTTCCTTAATCTTATCCCGAACAAAATGACAATCAATCTCAATGTGTTTTGTGCGTTCATGAAACACTGAATTAGAAGCTATGTGTAAGGCTGCTTTATTGTCGCACCACAATTTTGCTGGTAACAAGGCTTTAAGACCAACCTCCTTCAGTAATTGATGTATCTAGACTATCTCGCACACAGATTGTGCCATAGCTCTATATTCTAGTTTCAAATTGTCTCTGCAGCAATTTGATGACCATAAACTGACTGATCATGAAAATTGCATGCTAACCAGACACTGTTTACACTTCGTGAGTATGAAAGTAGATGTGTTGGCTTTTAAGTTTTTTATGAGAACAGTTCATATCTGCTTTTTCTTGAAACTTAAATACAAAACCGTTATTAACTGCATGGAATCTATTTGTGCAGGAAAACAACTAATTGGAACGAAACTTTCTGAGTTTTGTGCCTATGCACTTCTAGCATTGGAAGTGCTCATACATCCAAGGGCACTTCCATTGGTAGACTATTCTGTAAGTCGTAATTCTTTTGGTGAAGCTCTCAGTAATTTTGGAGATGGCTACGCTATTGGCCAGAACATAAGTAACCCTTTTAGGTCTCAGCAAGTGGGATACGATACTCCTGAATCAGATGATGATTTGTGTCAAAAGTGGCTGGAGGATGGCACAGAGCCAGACGTGCCATTGGCCGAGGGGGCAAAGCAACCTGAAGAGCCTTTTGGGATATCTAGAGATAAGGACCCATCCAGCACCAAAGAGCCTGAGAGGAGCAAGATGTCCGAGACTGCCACTTGTGCAGATATTGAAATGACAACTGTTGAGGATGAAAATGTCAACAAATCAGACCGCCCTGGTGAATCTGCCATGCAATTTCACCCCATACCTTGCACAAGCATTTCTCATGCTGAAGCTTCTTGTAGATCTGTAGTTGTTGAGTCAGTTCCTGAGAAGATTGTTGCAGATAGCACAGTGCCTCATACAGGTAGTAAAATGGAATCAAGCCAAGAAGCCTCCATCGGCAAAGACAGTGAATCAACTTACCTAAGCGACAGAATGCCAAGGACCTCAGATTTGAACAAGGATCAGGGATTTGCACCGAAATTGGATCATGATGGTTCATCTGACGATGATGATGATTTACCTGATATTGTGGATGCGGACCCAGATTCTGATTCCAGCTAGGGAAATCTGCCATGAATCCAAAGTTTCATGAGGAAGACGTAGTGTAGCTTAGGGTCATTCTTTTTGTTTTCCCCCTCTCTGCTTAAACAAACATGGCTCTAAATTTCTTAAACAGGTAGGAAATGGGGACGTATAAATCACCAGAGCCCAAGGCACAGATAGTTTAGTGACAGCAAATTTCTACCAGGCAGTGCCAGGCGTTTAAGATATATAATCTTAAAGTGCAGTTAATTTCCAAAAAGTTGGGTGGAAATTGTAGGAGTTTTGAATCGTTATTTGGATATGGTTGGATTTATATATTTTAATGTGGACTCGAATATTGTTTTGTTATATCTACTGGAAAAAGCCAAAGTAAAAGATATAACGAGGCAAAAAAGTTTGAAGAGAAATGCCTTATCCGGAGGAAGGCAAGTTTTTGCCAATGGTTCATTATTTCACTCTTTCCCATTTATTTGTATTATCATTTTTTATGTCTACCTCCATGGTCCTTTGTAAAACCAAAACGTAACTTACTTTAGTTGTGTGAGAAGAAAATTTTATTAAAAATAAGTAAAATGATCCACAAATCAATGGACTCCTTCACCTGAAAAACCCAGTGAAGGGCTGAAGGCTATAGGAGTCCAATGAAATCAAAAGAAAAACATAGACACAGACATAGCTGATCTACTTAATTAATTTGGATGAAGAAAGTAGTTAAATTATTTATAAAAAATGTTAGTTTTTTAAAATATAAATCCTCACATTAATTTGTTACAACTTACAACTCATTATTCAAATTTAAAACTCCAAGCCTAATTTTAATATTTCAAACCAAGTTCAACCAGCTTTTTTTTAAAAAAAAGAACATTTAGGCGACCCTGCATCGTCGTGGGCTAGCCTGTATCCATACTACCAGATTGTTTTACCAGCTCTAAACATAGATGTCAGTAACGCAGGAGCTATGGGTTAGAGCATATGCGGGCTAATACTTAGCCAATCTGAGCCTGCCAGGAGTGGCCTTTCTTTTAAGGTTTTTTTTTTTTTTTTTACATTTTTCATCTATATTTTTAAATCTTCAAATTAAATTACATATTTTAGACTAAATCCTACTTATTTTTATATTTTTATATGATAATTGTATTGCAACTATAAACATATAATATATTTTTAATTAAAAAAATAGAATGCGAGAAATCAAATTTAGAATCAAAGTCTTTCACAAAATACAAATTTATATTTAACTTGAGCAAAGATGATACATTCTTTTATTATTAAAACTAGAACAGAAACTCTATATTAAGGGGCGGAAAAAGTGGGCTTACATGTGGGTTGGCAAACTAGCCCCAATGGGTTTTAAGTTGGCAAGTAGTCTATATCAAAATTAGTTAATATTTTTTCAATTCGACTTATCACTTTTTTACGTGTTGAATTCACGAGTTCAGCCCATATTACCATTTCTTGATAGAACCAACATAAATTGAGAAAACAAGAGAAGAAAGGTTGAGAGTTCTAATTACAAGCAGGTCCGGACTCAAAATGTAAGTTACTTTGTTATAAGAATTTAAAGTACCAATTATTTTATTTTAAAAAATATTCTGTATATAAAACTAAAAGCATATTTTTTATATGATGGAATGAATAATAAAGGAACAGGAATAGAAATGGGAATGAGAATGGGAATACATGCCATTATCACATTGTTTGATATGGCTGAAAGAAGATGACAATGTTTTTTTGTTGCATGTTTTGTATAACGTAAATGTGATAGGATTTAAAACGATAACATAGTAATTTATCATACTATCTTTAATAATAAGATTTATCATAAAATATTTCCTCCTATCCTAAATATATGAGCTATATAGCTATTAATTTACAAAGATTAAAAAATAATTTAAATTAATTATTTGTAATAAATGTGTGTTGATCACTCTAAAAAAAACTTCTGATTTAATCATTTGTATTGAGAATTACTATCATAAATAAAAACCCTATTTAATATATATAATTAAGATGATTGTTTGATAAAAGAATTATTATAAGCTTGTCAGACAAAGTGAATTACAAAAGCGAAACAAAACTTTCAACTATCACGTTTATTTAAGATCCGAGGAAGTAAATTGTACGTAGAGGTTATTTGGACATTACATAATTTTTTGTGGGATTTTAACGGGCAAAAAAAAAAGAAAAGGGAATAATTTTCATGTAAACTGAACATGAAAGAATTAAAATTGGACACTTATTGCCAGTTTGAGGGAACTTAAAAAAAATACTTTTATGCTTTAGCAGACAAAGTTCTATTCATATATTGGGTTTGTTATTGTTTAGCATAAAATCAATTCTCAACAATCAATTCAAACAAGCACTTGTTCTCTTTTTCTTTCCTTCAATTGCTTTAAATCACATTACCATAAGCAAATGAAAAGGTAGATAGATCAAAATATAGGAACAAAAGGCTTGATTTCCTATGAATGAGAGGAGAGAGTTTAGGGCCCATTTGGCAAAAAGAATCGGTTGGAATGGAAAGAAAATGAATGAAATAGAATGAAAAATTCCTGACTGAGGGTCTATTTAGTAAGCATTGGAATGAAAAATATATTGATAAAAAATTTTATGTTTAGTTGAATAAAAGTAGATTGAAAAATTGTGCAGTTTTACCATATTACCCTTAATGAAAAATATAATATTATTAAATAAAAATACTTTTTAACCTTATAGAATAATATTATCAGTGAAAAATTCAATAGTTCAAAAAATAAATGAATAAAAATATACTACAATGTAAATAAATAAATATGAATATTCAATATAAATATTAAAATTATATAGATATTAAATGAATAAAAATAATATAATAAAATAAAATAGAATAGAATAGAGATGTTTGAACGAGTTAAAATCATCTATAAGCGAAAAAGGAATAAAGTATGATTAAGCAATTTATAAATCCAAATGGATATGGATAAAGTCAATGAAAATATGAATTTTTCGTAGACATGCATTTCTTAATTTAAATTTAAATGGAAAAAATGACCTATTATTGAAAAAGATTTCTAAATTTAATTTCTAGTGTAACAGAATCCATTCAAAAGGTTTTTGTATTTTTTTTACCAAAAAAAATATCTTTTTATTTTCAAATTGATTTTTAAGACAGTGACCAAATGTCACAAATGTTTTTAAAAAAAAAACAAAATAATGTTGTATAATTAAATAATTGAGGTAGATGTCATTGAAAAGTTGATCGAGTCCATATCTATATTGAATAATTTTAACTTTAAAACTATTTATAGTTTGGGAGATATTGAATTTTCTTGCATTAAATTTTGAACCTCCTCAAAAAAAATTCGAATTTGATGTGGCAAATTAAATTTGAATTTTCTTGCATTCAATTTGATTTTGCTCATTTCCTTATCACAACTTAAAGCCTAACTACTGGAATTTAATGTAAATGGGAATTTGTATCAAGAAATTTCAATTTATACATGATATATTCCAATTTTCGTATAAAATTTAAATTTCATTATGCCTTACTTGAATACTCTGTTATACTCTATTTTAGACGCACTAAATAGGATAATTTTCATTTAGATCTAACTTTCTCAATTTAAATTCAAATTGGGTAAATAACCTATCATTGAAAAGCTTTCTAAGTCTAGTTTTTTAATGCAACAAGACCCATTCAATAATACTTTGTAATTTTAAAGTTATGATCGAAATAATAAGCAAGGGTTAGAAATATTTTTCTCACCAGATTTTGAACCAGATTTAAAACATCATATCTACTTCATATGAAAGCATTTTTATTGTGGTAAATGTTGTTAAAAAGCATATCCAATCTATTTTTATGTATAACAAGTTTCACTTCAAAAGTAGGTAAGTTCATTTTCTCACTTTTATTAATGTACTTCTAGGTGTATATTGTACCTCTTGAAGATGTTTTTGGTTTTCAATCAAAAAAATATTTTGTTTATCTGTTGAGAATAATGGGTCAATCTTTACAACATTTTTTTTTTCTTTTTAATGAATATAACGTTTTGTGTGTCATGAAGAGAAAAAGAGGTGATGGATATAAAGATGAAGAAAATGAGATGGAAAGACAGAAAGATGAGGATAAAGGAATAAGCAGCAGGAGAAGACGAAGACGAAGAGAACGATAACGTATGTTTTTAGGGGCAGATATGTCTTTCGCATTTGTATACCTATGCTGGAAAATGAGTTTCCATCAAAAAGGGTGAGAATTGATTTTCCTTTACACAGATGAAAATTGTCCACCCCCAGAGAATTGTTTTCCAAAAAATCATCCAACAAAATGCACCAAGCATATGGAATGGGTTTGAGCATTATATTCATGTAAAAACGTTTCCCAAAAAATTGTCCAACAAAAGTTGTTTCCATTTTACCCTTCCTCCAAAGAATGATCGATGGAGCTTCTTCCTGCCCTCTTCATTGCGGCGACCACGCGACTGAAGATGATGGATTGCTGCAACCAGGGAGAGTGAACATCTCGTGCTCCTTTTTTTTCCCCAAAAATAAGGATTGAAATCTAGTCTGTTGGATCCGCCATGCATTGTAACATGGAATGGGTTCGAGCATTATATTAATATAATAAGTTTATTTATTATCGTGTGTACATATATTATAATTATAGTATTTATAATTATTATGGTGTATATATTCTTAGTATAAGTATAAACTATAATTTTGGAGATATACATTAAGTATAATTTTATAAAGTGAAGGGAAAAAACAACTTAAATAAAGTAAGGGACAAATTTTTCTATATAAAAATATTTTGGGTTAATAAAATTTTTGGTCCCTCAAAGTTTGTCTTTATTTGATTTTGGTCTGTCAAAGTTTAAATTATAGATTTCGGTCCTTCAAGTTTTTTGTTTTTCCATTTAAACAATAATTCCTATAATTTAATAAAAACTTAGACTATTTGGCCCATTTAGAAACTAAAACATTTGATTTGATTTTGAATTCGAAAAAACCAAAATCAAAATGAAATCAAACTTGAAAGATATTTTTTATATTAACCCAAATATTTTTCCTCCTATACCCTTTTGAACTAAATAAGATAACATTAAAATCTCTCCCCTCCTCTCCTTTCTAATTAATCCAAATAAGGTAATATTAAAATTTTTTTCCCTTCTCTTACCTTCTTTCTCTTTCATTAAAATCCTTTTCCTTCCCTTCCTGCAATTAAACCAGACCCTAACTTTAAAAAAGAAAAAAAGTCTCTATACATAACACGAAAACTTAAACTTTTTCACCATTCTTCTCATGTCCTACATTAATTTCCTTCAACTTATAAAAAGATCAAAGAGACTACTTGTTTTTAGTTTTACTGAAATTTTATATGCGTCATATAATTTTTTTCATGACATAAAGTTTAGGTGAGTTAGGATTTCTAGTTAAAAAAAGAGAGTTATGTTTTGACTTCTGGAGGCTTATTAAGATCAAGGTATGCCTTCAAACTTAAAATATACTAACAAAGATATTTATAAACTTTTCACTTAAAAAACCGGACTGACTCCTGTTAATGACAATGAAGACAGCAGCCCTCAGAGCGATGCAATTAATTAAAGTGGGCGCTGGAGAATCTTGCGGACAGGGAAGTCTGAGTCTGACAGCGAGGGAGAAAGAAAGTGATAGCATGTGGCCAAAGTTTCACCTTGAGTTGAAGCCATTGTTCCTTGTCACCTGCTCATTTTTTCCCCAAAAAATAAAGTTTCAATTGTTTAGTTTAGGTTATTTTCTTGTGAACAGCATAAATTACTTGTAGAAATTTTTTTATATACTATATAAGTCATTTGGAGAATAATTAATTTTTATTTATTAATTTTGTATTTGTAATTAGTGCTTAAGTGTGATTTCTTGTAATTTTTTCTTTGTTCTTCACTTCATTTAATATAGGTAAAATTGGGGGGAAAATTTTAATTTGAGACACATGTAATGAGTGACTTATTTTGTGAATCAAAGAGAGTATTTAAACTTAAGATTTTTTTTTAGTTCTGATTTTGTAAATTAGAATCTTTTTTGTTAAAAAAATATGAATAATTAATAAGCAATTCTTTATAGTTTTAACTAATTTTTAATCCTGTCCTAATACTTTTTATCTTTCTATTGGATATTTATGATTTCACCTGATTTAAAATCAAGTCTTTGTATTTTTTTCAATTTAATTATTAATATAATTTAGTTAATTGAACAATATTGAAATATAAAATATTAGTAAACTTAATAATACTTATATCATTATAAAATTATTAATATAATTAATTATTGTTAATTAATTCTAATAATCATTATAAATTAACTACAATTATATTCTGTTGTTAGAAAGTTTGATTGTTATCATTCGAATTTTATAATTATAAAAAAATAAAAACTATAATTATAAAATAAATAACGTAAATTTATGTTTAGTTTAAGATTTTAAATGAATATTAAAATAAAATTATGACAATTATTTATTTCTTAGAGAATATTATCAATTATAAATAATATGATTAGAATTTATAGACTAAAAAACTAAGAAACTCTAAAATCCTTATTAAAAATCAGATAAAACTATGAGGAGTTGCCTGTTAAATTAATTATCCCAGGAAAATAACATGTAGCCGCACAAAGCAATAGGTGTCACGTGTGCATGTTAGTACGATTTGTTTCCAATTTAATGCTAATTAACCGTGACATTTGTGAAATAAAATCTAGAGGGCGTTTGACCACAAAAAAAAAAAAATCTAGAGGGCGTTAACTAATTGTAAAATATTACAATAAGTATATATTCAAACATATTATTTATTATTTCTAAACAATATGGCTTGTAATAAAGTTCGTTATAATCAATTCTGAAAATTGGAATCAAGATCTTTTGGGTTCACTAGGTTTTGTGTTACGTAAGAAATGGACTCTCATTTTAAACTCTATTATCTTGGATCATGAATCGAATTGGTAATCTATCTTCCTCTATTTTTAAGCTTGAGCATCAACTACAAATTTATGATTAATAGAGAAATTAGTCTTAAAGAAGATTTGTCGAATAGATTAGAAAATGCCACTAGCAGGGTTTGAGTCCAATAGAAGGGATTAATTCATCACAATATAACGAATCAATGTTCAAACCCCCGTTGAGAGAAGTGCCCATATTTAGAGGGTGTTTGGATGAAACCAAACCATAGTTTAGAGAATAACTTCTGAAAAATAGATTCTTGAGAGAATAGATTTTGTGAAGAACAGATTATGTGAAAAAATAATTTTGATAAAGTGAGAGTATTTGGATAGTTGTTAATAGAAGCACTTTTTATATGTGCAAATTACTAGAAAAGACATAAGTTCATATAATAATTACATAAAAGATAGATTGTATAATATATTTTAATTTGAAGTAATAAAATTGTTAATAATATATTTTTCACCAAGATAATTAATAATATATAAGATAATGTAATTAATATATAATTAATGTGTATATATATATTTATAAAGCATAAGATTAAATATGTTTATAAAAAAAATTGAGGGGTGTTAAAGTCATATTATCGTTGAGATCTACTCTAACAGGTATAATCATACTCTCTAATTTGAGTTAGAAGCAAAATGGATTCACTTCTTCTGAAACCATGGTTTTGAACCCAAAACCATGATTTTAATTCAAAACTATGGTTTGTTAATTTCTCCCCTTGTTTGGCAAACTTGGAACCCAAACTATGGTTTGGATATGAAAACCATGATTTCATCATATTGTCAAATAGGCCTTTAGTGTTTGACAGTGTCTCAAAAATACTCCCTCCGTTCCTTATTATAAGAGACATTTGATGTTTATGGCATGTTCCTATATATAAGAGACACTTAAAAGTTGTCTCTACTTTTTTGTGTTGATTTTCTATTTTACCCATATTTATTGTCTCCAACTCACACTCTCTTTTCCTCTCACTTCTCTTTTTTTCAATAATTTAATTATTCTCTCTCATGCTCTCTCTCCTTATTAATGAGGGCATTTTTGAAAAAAAATTATATTGATTGTTCTTAATTAATTTTAACTGCTTTTTTTATCAACGTAATTCGGTTATTCATCTCTTATAATAAGGAACGGAGGGAGTATCATTGCTTTAATTTTATCTTTCTAGTAATATGTTTTTTTTTTGTTGCTTAAAGTATTGAATAAAACTTTCGTTACTCTAATTTCAAAAGGGACTCACCCTCAATCTTTTAAGGATCTCGTGCCTATTAGGTTTTGTAATAGGCTGAGGATCTTCTTCCTAAACTTGTCTCTCCTTTCCAAAGCACATTCCTTAAAGGTGATTAATCTCTAACATCTTGTTAGTGACGGACTTTGTTCATCAAATACACATTGCTAGGAAAGGATAGAAGAAACTTGCATTGAAGCAATTTTGACCAGAATGCGCTTTCCTCTAAAATGGATCCAACTTATGCAATATGTCTGTACAATTCAATATAATATTCTGTCCAATTGGAGACTCACCTAGCCGATTTTTTCATCCAGTGGTATTAGACAAGGGATCCTCTGTCGCCATATCACTTTATTTTAACAGCCAACATTTTTTAGTTTCTAATCATCCATCACGAAACCAAGGTATTCTTCATGGTATTGAAGTATGAAAGGATGCTTTTCTGTTTCCAGCTTTTTGTATGTTGATGATTCTATAATCTTCTTTGAATGTAATAAATTCAATATTGATGAAGTGGATTAGTTTCTTAATACTTACTGCCTTTGGTCTGGATAAAAAATCAGTATGGATAGATCTTCCATGCTTGTCTCTCCTAATGTTCCAAATGACATTAAGGGCAAAACTAAATAGAAAATTTATTATTGGTTTTTCTTTTGGTTTTTTTTTTTTGGGTGATAGGATTTGTTTTTTTGAGCGCTTTGGAAAATAGCGTGGTACGTGGGTTGATTCTGGAAAAGATAAATCTACAATCTATAGGCAAATCATAGGTGCTCTTTTTCTAAGCTTTTAGATTCATTTTCATTAAGGGGTATTGGAAAGCATTCAAAAGTAATTCTGAAAAGTGTTTTTCTACGAAACGAGACAAACTCCTCTACAATTTTACCTCGTATATCATAAAAACACTTTTAAAATTATGGTTTAGTTTCTTTCCAAATATCCCTTAAATTTCTGCTCTTTGCCTCCAATGTTCATTTGATCAAATGCATAAAACTCCCCAAAAAGGATTGCAACATCATGATGCCAAGTTCGTCAATTTTATAAGAAAAGTTATGATGTACAAAATAATTTAACCCCAATTTTTCCTTAAAAGAAATACTAGTATTAAAAAGACGGATTTAACTTTTCCAGTCGAATCACGGAAATGAGAAATCATACTGTCAAAGAGCACACTTCATAAAATCTTGAATTTTCCGTTCGTGGGGAAGTCCATTTGAACTGAAGAGACGGGCGATCACAATTCAGTAGCTCCGCACCATACAATTCGTGCTATCGCGAGCAATCCCAATGCCCGCCGGTGAAATCCGCTACGCCTCCCCGCCACCATCCCCGATGGACGCCTCCTCCGCCTACGAAGATGAGGCCTGGGTCTGGGCTCAAATCAAGGCGGAGGCCCGCCGCGACGCCGAGTCAGAGCCGGCCTTAGCTAGCTATCTGTACTCCACCATCCTTTCTCACCCTTCCCTCGAACGCTCCCTCTCCTTCCACTTGGGCAACAAGCTCTGCTCTTCCACGCTTCTCTCCACCCTCCTTTACGATCTCTTCATCCACGCCTTCGCTTCCGACCCTTCTCTCCATGCCGCCGCTGTCGCCGACCTTCGCGCTGCCCGTGAACGCGATCCTGCTTGTGTTTCCTACTCCCACTGCCTCCTCAACTATAAAGGTTACCTTGCAGTCCAGGTATTTCAATTTCTCATCTTCGATTTGTTGTCGTTATCCTCGTGAGGCGCGCGCGTGTATCGCTCATTTTGTCTGGATTATTTTCCCGGGAGGATTTGTACCTTCTCGTATTGCTCTGCTGTTATCAATTAAATGTTAGGATGTTTCATTTACATCGTCTCTTCTTAATTAATCGAGCTAACGCTTTGCGCATCGGATTTCTCTGTTTTTTTTTTGGATTTTATTCCTTTTTTGGTTCCTTTTCACCTGAAGAGAAATTTTTACCTTGCAGGCACAGCGTGTGGCGAACAGGTTGTGGCAGCAATCTCGGAGGCCATTAGCTCTGGCTCTGCACTCTCGTATTGCGGATGTGTTTGCGGTGGATATACACCCTGCGGCGAAGATTGGGAAAGGGATATTGTTGGATCATGCTACGGGCGTGGTAGTGGGTGAGACGGCGGTGATCGGGAATAATGTGTCGATTCTGCATCATGTGACTCTGGGAGGGACAGGGAAAGTTAGTGGGGATCGGCATCCAAAGATTGGAGATGGAGTTCTTATTGGAGCTGGGGCAACCATTCTAGGGAATATCAAGATTGGAGAAGGTGCAAAAATCGGTGCTGGGTCTGTTGTCTTGATCGATGTGCCGCCCCGGACTACAGCGGTTGGGAATCCGGCAAGGCTGGTGGGTGGAAAGGAGAAGCCGGCCAAGCATGAGGATGTGCCTGGGGAATCCATGGATCACACTTCCTTCATCTCTGAGTGGTCAGATTACGTCATATGATTTGAAAGCTTTTTGAATCAAAACATCACTGGCGGATGATAATTTTGGAGCATGTCCACATCTCTCTAACCTGTTGCTGTGGATTTTTTATTTTAAGAATTGGGAACTCCAAAATATGATGTATAACATGTTGGACTCTACACATCAACATTGTTTGGTATTTATGTAAGATACTAGAGGTTCATCATCTGATTCACAAGCATTACATTGTTAGGTGTCAGATTGTTATCTTGCTGCCCAGAAAATAACATTACATGAGCCATTTTAAATTATGGGCGTAAAAATAGAGAGGTGGGTCTCAGTTGAAGTTACTCCAAATGCATGGATGCATATAATTGTTTTGAGCTCATCTTGGAAGGCATCTTAGAAGTCTTTAATCACATTTAGATAACTCTTGCTTGCTGTTGCCTATAGTTGCAGAAGAAAGAAACTGCTATGGTTGCTTGTCACTGTAATGGCAATGGTAATAATTGTCTCAGATCTCTGATCTCTCACACTTCTCTCCCTATGCAGCTCTCTATATGGAGGGAAAAGTTAGCTTTTGGTTTAGAGTGCAATGAAATCCCCTCTATTTTCTGTGGCATTTTGTTTGTTGCACACAAAGAAATTGTTTGCATCTTTTGGATTTCAGGTTTTTCTTAGGTATGTTAGGAATCAATGATAAATATGAATGTCAAATTTGCATAATGTCAGCTGGTTATCTAGGGGGAAAAAAAACTGTAGGCTTGTCTTGCAAATGCACAATAGCCATTTTAGCTGGATGTAAATGTCCTTGTAACTGTGTTATTATGACCTAGTAATGGCCAAAAACTCAGCTATTATGAATACTAGTGCTTGATATATGTTCGGAAAATACATTCAATGAACTTGGTATTGATCTGTCCAAAGAGAAGACATAATACTCTTTCTGAATCAAAAGTAATACTACCTCTAGTATTAAATATTAAAGCTAGTTGGTCATCCTAAATATATAAGATTTTAATTGATTTTGTCTTTCAAATATATAAGATATTCTCAAAAATATCTCTGTTAATTGTAAGGTATTTTCATCCAAATGTAGTACAATGTACATAATTGTATAAAAGTAATTTAAAGTAGCAAACACACATTTGTTACAAATAATTAACTTTAACTAATTTTTTTAATTTTCTCAAATTTATGACCAAAAAAAAATTTCTCAAATTAATCATCCAGTTCTTATATTGAAGATCATAGGTAGTATCTTGTATTTATCTAAAAATTTAATGCATTTTCTTTCATTTTTACCCGCAAATGTCTCATTGTTTTTACCTACTCACTTTTTTTCATCTCTTTCACTTATTCCCCTTCATTCGTCATCTTTATAAATAAGGATATACTTAAAAACAAAATGACATCTTTTGCACACTTATTGTTTTTAATTAATTTTTAAGTATTTTAATGTACGTGAGTGAATACCATGGAAGGACATGTTCTCATATAATCCATGCCTCAAGTAAGCTGATTCATATTCCCTTTGAATGAAATAATGAACCAAATGACTTCAGACAACATGGTGGGAATATTGAGGACCCCACAGGCCTTATATTATTCATTTATTCATTTATTTTTATGTGGATGTTGTTGGTAGAATGACGCAAAAGGATCATGGAGGAGTATTGAGGAGTGAGGACCAGACAAGCCTTATAATGTAAATTGTTTGTTTCTGTTAGGAGAATCTCACATAAGGATAATGCAGGAAAATTAATTATCTTACCTCAAATATATGGAATTAACATTAAGAACAAGCAATCTTTTGTCTTTTATGGGGAAAAAAAAAAGTGGACGAAAAGGCCTTTACATACTTGGCAAATAGTATGTAAATTCATTTGATCATGTTCTAAATCCTGAAAAGCAGCTATAAATTGTGAAAATTTTCTGAATCTTAAAAATTCAATTGTAAATTTTGAAACTTTAATACAGGAAGAAATGTACCAAAACAATTGAAAATTATGGATTGGTTCTAAATATTAGAAGTTCAACCATAAATCTCAAAAGGATAAGTTACAAATCAATTTGTTAAGTATTTGAATTCGATTCATAATTTATAATTGATTTACAAATCTTTCTATATTGATAACGAAGTTTATAAGATTTTCAACTAATTTCCTAATATTTTCAAACTGATTTCGGTGAACATCCTGTCTCACATATTATATGTCTAATATTTTATCAGGTAATAGGTGCAAAATTTAAAATAAAAATAATTTTTCAATTATCACTTTTCAAAAAACAATTCAATTTTCAAATTAATAATAATAAATTCACGTTGATGTTTACAAATATCCCATGGAATTTGACAGTTTCATTATGGGAAACTGAAAATTAGGCTTATGATATTCACAACTTTTTTTAATGGCTTGGAAATTGTGTTTAATAAGCACACATATCATATTTTACTTTATTTTGATTTTAGTTATTAAAATTTAAAATTAGTAGTTTTTGATTTTTGAGATTTGATTTCATTTTGATCGGTCTAAAGATTTTTTGTCCCTGTATTGTGTTTTTAGTCTCTGGACCTTGTTTTAGGAACCAAAATCACTAGTTTTAAATTTCAGGAATCAAAACAAAAATAAATTCAAATTTCATGGACTCAAAATAATACTAACGCTATTTTTTATCATATAATGAAAATGCATTAGTATCTCGAGAGGCACAAATATTTTGTGATGAATTAAGGAATCATGAGTTTAAGTCATACTCTGACGACATTGAAGCATTTTTGTGGTTGCTGATGGTTGCATTGGCTACAGTGGTGGATGGATAGAACCTTTTAAAAAAATATAACTAAGTGAAATTATTTTGTTAGTTAACTAATAGAACTTAATTTTAATTTAAAATCTCTTAATCTTACAAAAATATTTCGAAATTTAGTCCTTGATTGAAAAATTCTCCAGACAGTGATAGTTTGGTGAGAGTATAAAAGAATAAAAAGAATACAACAATAGCATAACCTTATCATTTTAAGTGGGGTTAATTACATGAATTACATGACGTTACTAAACTCTATTAATGATTAAATTTTTTAAAAAATTGTTAATTAATTGAAAAATCTCTTTAGTCTTCTTCTACCCGTTTTTATAGGACTTAGTACTGTATCCTCTTCACATGATGCATTTCAAAGCCTTTTTTAATGTGACCATATAATTTCAAACGATTTTCTATCATTTTTTTAAGAATAAAAAAATAAGGATAATATTCTATCTGATCCTAATTATTAAGCATGACAGCTTGATCCAAATGTAATACAAAGCAATAGATGGTCTTAGATTGACCCTCAAGTGTAAAAGCAGAAGGGAGCTTGCAAGACCCACCCGCCGAGCTGGGACAAAAGTCAGTCTTAGTGAATTGAAGTTGCAGGGTGGAAAGATAGAGTTTTATGTGTTTATATATTATTCAATCTTACTCCTCGTTCGTTTGATGCTACTTTCATTATTTTTCATGAAAATTGATATGCTTCTAATTATAATAAGGCACTTCATTGTAGGCATTAATTTCAGTAAAAGGGGTAAAATTGAAAAAGTCATATATATTTTACAATTTTGAGAACGTGAACTATCATTTCTTAAAAATCATAAAGTGGTTCATTATGTTTTATAATTAGGACTTAAGGCAGGTGGAAGGGGATATTCCCATAGAGTTACAGGATGCCGGGGGAAAGTTGATCATCCAGATTCCCTTGGAATGCAATAATGCAAAGAAAGACTTGAGATAACATGTGGGAATATTGAGGACCCCACAAGCCTTTAATTAAATAATTTTTTCCCTTTTTGGGATAGAGAAAATTAAAATTGTTTAATTTAATAAATTAGCAGCCAAGATATGATTAGGTAAAATAATGAGAAAATTGAGGATAAATATCTCATTAAAAATTTAATTGGAAAATGGTCCCTAAGCTGAGTAATTACACAAGGGAAGGTAAATTGCACACAAAGGAAGGTAAGTTACATAAGGAGAAAATAGTTTGCACAAAACCATTTGAATATAAGGTATTAGTTTCACATAGAGAAGATGACCTACACATAAGAAAATTTTATTTGCACAAAAGAAAACTAAGTTACCCATCGCAGAAAGAAAGATTATTGCACATAAGGAAAGATAAATTACATACAAAAGAAATTAAGTTGCGCACAATAGAAATTAAGTTATACAATTAGGTCCTATTTGCTAACTAAATTTTCAAGGAGAGATTTATCCTAATTTTTCCAAAATAATAATATATCCTTGACTGAGAATGGTATCCGATCCTCTAAGCAAGTTCAAAGCATGGGGTTGGTGATGATAACATAAAAAAAATGCAACTTGAAGGAGAATGGCACTAATTAGCAGCTTTATTATTTTATTTTTTGCTTTGGGCCATCAAAGTAGACAACAAATCAATGCATTAATTAACAGCTAGGCAAGTTGGGAGAAGCAAATTAGGATTAGGGCACATTTGACAAAGTGTATTAATGATTTAACCAACATTTCTTGTTTTGTGAAAAAGTTTAACTAACATTGTATTATGGATTAAAAAGAGTACTCATTTTGTCTTTATTTATAAATTACTTCCAAAATATTTCACTCAAACCAAGAAAAACCTTAAATTTTATTAATTCTAATTTAAAATTTAACAAATTTTTAACTTTATCCTTATTTAATATCAATTATACCTTATGAGAACAAAATCAACAAAATAATAAATGAAGGATAAAATTGTATATTTATATATAAAATTTCTCTCTCTAACCTATATATGAGACTAAAATTTTTTTTTTCTCCCCACTGTATAAATAGGATCAGAGGAGATCATTTAATTTTTTCCCTCTTCACGGTTTAACTTCTCTCTATATGGTAGTAAATGTGAACCCAGGATTTTTTTTCTTTTCCCTTCACTTTTCCAGCGTCACAAGCGTCAATTTTTTGCTCTTGGCTTAATCTATTTTAAGCTATTCCAAATACAACAAAATATGCCAAACATGTTTTTAACCCTTAAAAGTTGCTTAAACGCCATTTAAATTGGATCCAAACATGCACTTAGTCAATTGCTTAACAAGAGGAGGTAAAAATGGGAAGAAATTCGCATGCTACGAAATTACTTTAAATTTCAAGAAGAATCCCAAGATGATATCTTGACATGGTTTTATTATAATAAAATTGAGAGAATTAAAAAAAAAGTTTGAAATTGCTAAATTCCAAATAAAAAATTTATACAAAAATGTATTATTAATGCTTTAGTAGTTATTGTCATCTGTTAAAAAAAAATCCATTTTCTTCACTCTTTTTGGTGAAATGACCTGATTGCATTCAGTGAAATTGTTAATGCTTTAGTGGTTATTGTCATCTGATAAGTTAAAATTGTTACTTATTAGTTGTTGTCATTTTAATTTTTTTCTTGTTTTTCATATTTTAAATTAAAGGCATTTAGCTTGGTAATTTTGTTACAAAATTTAATTCCAAACTAGCTCCTAGAATTTCCCAGCGATTATGCCACTTAAGGATCTTGGATTGAGACTTGCAGATTTAGATATGTTTTTTCGTCTTTCTCCCTAAATTTTATATTATATATTAATATATCAATTAATA